TATATATGATATACCTTCTGAAATAACTACTGTATTCATTCATTCATTCATGTATAATTCTAGAAATTTAACCCTAAAAATCATCCATAAAGTGGGAGGGCAGTGATACACAGGTTGTTGATAATTCGATTTTTAATGCTTTTTAAGCTCAAAAAATGATCATCGTATTATACTTGAATAAATATGGTATTTATTTATTTGAAAATGTTTATGAGGAATTATAAAATCACAGATCTAACAACAGGTCTACAGATATTTCAGACACTTTTGCACCAAGCAGACAGCTGGTTTGTGGAGACATTTATCTTAAGTCACTTTGATCCACTGTTGGACCTTCTGACCTGTTTGACTGTTGAATCAGCCTCTCAATGACACATATTGCTCTAATTAACTTATAATTAACATCAGGCTACAGATGCATTATAATACATTCAAGAACAAAACAATCATGAAGTTAGAGCTGAAATCTGTGATTTGGTTCTGTTGAACTATAATAATCTGACCTTACTGCAACATTGTTTCCATTATTGAATTATATATGAGCTCCTCTATTTCTGAGTAACAAACTCACGTTGTCTCGTGCAGTAATGGATCACACGTCGGAGTAAACAGTGAGGCTTTGTGGTGTGTTCAAGTGCTAGTTTTATTTGTCAGGTCATCTTAAGAAGTCACAGCAGACGAGTCTTTTGTCCCAAACTAGTTTTTGTTGTCACCGTGGTGCATAAGAGCCTTTAAATCACGGTTCAGCATCTTGGATATTCTTCTTTGTAAAGCAGCAGAGGTTTTATTTTGCTCCCAGTCAGAACAATTAGAAACACTGTTAAACACAACGCAGTTGAAACTGAAGTCAAAATGACCCACACTCATAAAGATGATCAGTAAACATTTCATAAACAATTTTTTTTTGTTACTTATTTGCTCTCATTCTCACACCATACTCATCATTATTATTGCAGCAGAATCACAGCTTGGGTTGTGTTTAAGTATTAAGATGTGTATATATTAGTATATATTAGTATTACAGATTATATTGTAACAGTACTTCAGTGTGTTTTTCTTTCATTTCACAGCTTTTCCAGATCCATGGGTCCAGGATGTAGAGGCACCAGGACTGTTTCTTGGCAGGCTGGTGCCATCGTGTACATGTTGTACATCTGTGTGTCGCATCACTGAGCTCTCATCAGAATTTCTAGAGTTATTAGCAGTTTATCGACAAGATGTCACTTCTGATTACCAAATGATGCCATTAAACTACGAACCATTGCGTTGASTTGCAGCACTACAATCCAACACTTTTATTTCTGTGTAATTTCATGTACTCTGAAGGCAGCTGTGGAGCTCAGTACATTCTAACCAAAGACTGGTGTTACAGCTGACTGGACCGAGACACTGAACTGCTCAGACAACTGACCTTGTCCCGTTATTTCCCAGAGTGGAGCTATTGCAGTGTCACTATGATTTGACAGATGGGGTGAAGAGAAGCGTCTGTTGTTGTTCAACATCTGGACTGTGACATTTCCGGATGTGGCACCTGTCAATCATCTTCTCTCATCCCAGTGATGGAGGCAGTCGTTCCCTAAACTCTCTGCTCAGACAAAATCTCAACAACACTCATGATTTTAAAGARGATAAAGCAGGGCCTGCTTTCAAGTCAAATATTATCAAAAATAAATAAAAAAATCAGGAAATGTCATCAGTCTTTTAACAGGGTTTAAATCAGGTAAAAGTGACATTCCACTGTGACTTGTGACAGGGTTATAACCTTCTGCACCCACTGGATCAGTTTCATGAACTCTGGGTCAGAGTCACATTGTTTTTATTATAAATTATGTCCTCTCTTGTAAAACCTTCTGAAAGGAGGACAGTTTAAATTTTTCCATGACTGCACAYACAGGCTGGTGGGACGACGACAACTCACACAACTATCAGACAAATTGTGTTTTCCACTCTCAGCCTCGTTGAATGACTCTAAAGCTCTCCGTCAGCTCAATATGGTTTTAGTTTATTTCTTGTCTTTTTCAAGGATTTTTAACAGAGGAAGCACAATAAGTCAGCTTTATCAYGTGACTGCATAAAATATATTCTGTTTCAACATAAAGCAAATCAGTTACAGAAAAACGTTTCTTTTCAGCAGGAAGTAGCTAAAACAAGCCCCGTCCACGTTACTTTCAAAGCAGATTTTCTGCTGTGATTTCAGCTCCTGTTTACACAAAACCTGTTTTTAGTGAGAAAAGTGGAAATTTTTCACAACTCAGATTTTGGTTTATCTTTGTCGACGACTAATATCAGGCTTTTTCAGAAACTAAATCTTGTCCACCATTACTTTGTGTCCTAGAAAGACTGTAAACACAGCATTTTTACAGTTTCTGCGTTAAACAAATAAAAAAACCAGGCAGATTTATTTTTGAGAAAAGGAGCATGTTCTTCCTGTGTTTTGTTCGGGACGTTAATATGGATGTTCTGATTCTGGACCCTGCTTCGCCAGTTTTATAAAAAGTCACAGTTTTTTGCTGTTAATTTGCAGTTTTGGGTTAACTTCAGTTTAATTTGTGAATAAAAGTTAAGCTCCTTAACATTTTCCTCCCTCGTCACGTGTACACAAAAAATAAATTATTTAACGTAAAGTTCAAATTTAGACTGTTTGCTTTAGAAATACCTGTGCAGACTGTGTGTAGTGTTGCTGACATTTTTTATAGAGGACTGTTGTGTGATGGAAAATATCACTTTCTGAGGTTTTTGAAGTGTATAAGTCTAGTTTATTTGACCCTGATAAAAAAAAACTCATTGAAAGTCCATTGCACTGGTCAGAAAACTCACCATCCTTGTYTGTGTACACTCCTGTTTTCTGGTATACACACCTGCCTGGCCAAGACCAGTAGTCCATTGATGGGTTAGGACTGAGGTGTAAACTGGCAGATTTACTTTGCTTTTTCAGATTATCAGTCTTGTAWTCTTATAGGAGGAGGATTTCTACAGAATACTTCAGTTCTGGAGGTTTTTCTGTTGAATGCTGAAAGTTCAAATTGTGACAGGCTGTTAGGTTTATATCAGCAGGTCTGTAAATAAACTTTAAATATTTAGTCCAGTATCATGTAGCCCACCAAGCAGGATTAAAGGGAGGAAACTGGGATAAATGTCATTTTTTTAGAGGTTTAAATAGAAACAACTGATATTAAGGATGCCAGTAAAGGTGCTGGAGCGTCCATATACTCTTATTCTGTTTGCATCATGAGGTGCGACTGGAGCAGGAATGGTGAGCTTTGGTCACTGCAAATTTTACAAGTCTTCGTTTACAACCATAAGATTTTTTGGCAAAACAAAGAAAACCCAGGCCTGTTCAGAGTTCTGCAGGTCCAGAAAAATGTTCAAAGACAAGTCTGAGAGTTGGACTTCACCTGACTGAGCTGATATTTAAATAACGTCGATCATTTTTACACAGTCACCGTTTAKACTGAATGATTTTCCTGTAGATTTGAAAAGAAAATGTTCAGTGACGATTTCCTCATTTTAACATCWCATTTAATCAGTTCAATCATTTATATTCATGTTAACATTTAAAGTCCAGTTTGTAGATTAATCCCAGTTTGACCACAGCAGAGCGGGATTATGTTCTGCCTCTGAGTCGAGCCGTTGTCGTCTGTCAGCAGGTTATCTGTGACCTCCTGTTGTTCGGCTGCAGGACATTAAAACAACCAGAGACAGTCGAGTTCAGGATTAATTCATTGTGTTAAATAGAAACTACTGTATATCTTTAGAGTCATGTTGTGTGTTTATTTATACCAGCGACCTCAGCAGAATGACTTGTTTTTGTTTTAACTCGGATCATTCAGTGCCTTGAGTTCAAGCAGCAAAACTGACCAACGTCACACTGTTTTCATAGATTACTTTTTTTTTTACTGCTGTTTTATGTTTCATCAAAGCCTGTTTGGTTTCCAGTGCTGCTCCCGTTCATTTCTAACAGTTTGTGAGAGGAAATGTAGATGAAGCCGTTCGATGCTCGTAAGATCCAAACGATCTACAGTTCGTAAAAGCTTTATTTTGTTTTTGTTTTAAATTATTTTTTGAAAACTTTGGATGTTTCTTTGTTTATTTCTGCCTTTCTTTTCTTACAATAGTAAAATAAGAACAATCTTGTTCACATATATGCTGTTTATTTTGTTTGTAAAAATAAAAACTGCATGGCCAGGGATTTAGTTTGGTTTGCTGGATCCTTTTTAATTCAGCAGGATCTGCTTCCAGTTGTTTCTGCTGTCTTTTTAATATTTTTCACGTCACATTTGTTGCAGAAAGTTCTACCTAGATGTGTATATTATTTTAAAAACAAAACAAAGACTGACATTAAGGCCCTGTCACACTAGACAACTTATGCCAACTTATGAAACATTTTTTATGTCTAAATTGCTAATAAGTTATTTGATCAATTTGTTAGAATTACAGTATGTACACACTGTTTTCAGTTGCAGCTTCAATGTAGATGTGTTTAAAATGTTCATAAGTTGTGTAATGTCACAGGGCCTTGAACAATCAACATTCTCTGTCCGCTGATGTACTTTGTGAACACAAAACCACGTGACACATGAATTGTAACAACAGATGAGTTTTTTTTTGTTGTTTGATGTATAAAAATGTTTGATCTGAGCACCACACTACAAAAAAAACCTTTTTTTTTCTTTTTTACTGTAGATGATTGTCATTGTTGTCTACAAAAATAAAAAATCCTTTGTTTTAGAGAGTGTTTTAAACTCTTATTTCTCTTCAAAGCTCTGAAATATAAATAAAAACATTACAAAGATTGAACAACCTGTCATTATGATACAAAACAAGATGGATAAATTGAGCAAATACAGCAGAAGGTGAGTTTCTAGAATAAATTCCAGCAGGTGTTTGTTTCTCTTCATCTTGTCCTCCACCTGCCGGCCGATGTTTGTGTGTTTTTGCAGAGCTCTGCAGGAACTCCGGTGGTCCTACAGGAAAGTGCTGAGGGTGTTGTCCACGGTGGCCAGGTGCAGGTACTCGGGCTGGCTGCTCTCAGACTCTGACTCCTGGTCTTCGTCGCCCCCCACCTTCCCTCCGTTCCCGAACGTCCTCTTCCTCCTCCGCACGGACCCCCGGGAGCGGCGCTCRAGACACGCCAGGATGGTGTGGGCCAGGTCCTGCTGCAGACGCTGGACGTTCTCTCTGCGAGAGGAGTGGAGGGAAAATGGCAGCGGTGAGAGAAAGAAGGCGAGTTTGAACAGGTCCACTGCAGTGCTGCAGAACCAACGAGGTGATGTGAAAAGTCCAACATCAAAAAAATGTTTTTTACTAAACAGTCGTTGAACAAAGTGGTTTGATTTCTTTAGGGTTTGCTTCCTGACTTTACTGCCATTTTTAAAAGATGTGTTGACCAATATTTCTTCAGGTTTTTTGAACACTTAATTCAGAATTTATCTTCATTTTAGCTTTATTTTGATATTTTGTCCAGTCTTTGGGACMAACCATGACATGTTTCCAGTAAATTAATGTAGTCCTGAAAGCTAGGGAGAAAAAACAGCAAATGTCTGAAGCCCTGAGGGACTGTACAGTGGGGAAAATAAGTATTTAGTCAGTCACCAATTGTGCAAGTTCTCCCACTTAAAAAGATGAGAGAGGCCTGTAATTGACATCATAGGTAGACCTCAACTATGAGAGAC